CCCGTCTGGAGCTGATCCGCGAGCCGCTGGCCGAAGGGGACAAAGAGTTGATTCTGGCCAAGACTAACAAGGAGTTGGAGCGCCTGTTTGACGGCGCGGTGGGCGGCCTGGGCTCGGATGTGGACGTTCAGCGGCTGTCGGGCGGCGCCCGTATTAACGCCATTATGAACGACAAGTTTGGCGCAGATGTGGGCCTCATGTATACCGACGAGTGTGAGATCCGGCGCCAGATAGTGGTCGCCATACAGAATATTAACGGCGTTTATATCGGTATATTTCCGCCCGACGCCGCTTTCAAGGCCTGTGTTTTGCATCAAATCGGTATGTTTTTAGCTTGATGACATTATTTTTGTTTATTATGTTTTGATATAATGTTTTGCGTTTACCCCGTTGTTTAGAGCTGTTCCGGCGCCCATCCATGGCCTGTGTGGAGGCCGTCACCTCCGAGTTGCACGATATCGTACGCGATTGTGTCGATACTATGGACACGTATACCCCGATCAAGTAATCAGTCAACTTTTTTTACCATGATTTTTGGTGTTTTTATAACTTGTTTAATTGTGTTTTGTTTTTGTAGAGAGTTTTACACAAAACTGAGCCAACAGTTTGTGGACGAGTGTAAGAAACGGTGCAAACACTGTGTTGAGCACCTGATCCGCGTCGAGAAAGCCTACCTTAACACTAATAACGAGGATTTCATCAAATTATACATGTATGTCAATTAAATATCTAATTTACCACATTTTAATAACTCATTTATTACATGTTTAGCGAGAGTATCGGTCAAATCACTGTCGCTGAACCGACTACAGGTGCCGCCGCGGCTCAGGTCCCGGTGCCGATCACTGAAGGGACAAGTGGTGGCGCTGGCGGTACCGCCGGTGGCAGTGTTGGCGCTGGTAGTGATCACCCGAGTAATTACAAGGGCGACAGTTTGCCGTTTACAATGTTGCCCGAGGATGAGTTGGTGTCGAGCACCTGCACCGAGTCGACCGTCGGCGCCGCCAGTGTCGACGGCCAGACCATACCGGCCCACATGCGGGTACAGGTGGAACAGATCAAGCGTTTGATCGACGCCTATGTCGTGTTACTTAAGAAAAAGTTTAGGTATTGTCTTACAAGTTACTAGTGTTGGGATTAGTTTACTAACTGTCCATTTGTGGTCTATTTCAGGGATCATTTACCAAAACTTTGTACACTGGAACTGATCCACGCGACCAAAGAGTTCATTGGGACGGCGTTAAGAGTCCGCATCCGAGACCACATCCACACCATCGACGACATCAGCGGCGGTGAAGATCCCGACAAAGAGTTGCGATTAGATTTGCTTAATAAACAACAGCACTATTCCGATGCCATCGAGATATTGAGGTCATATAGGGATGACTGGACTGTTTGATTATGGTAATAATTATGATAATTTGAGTTTTCATGTTAATTCTGAGTTTGGTTGTTTATTATATTATGTGTTGATTAAATATAATTTAATTAATTACATGTAAATCATTGTTTGGTTGTGTTTTGTATCCAATTGTCTGACTTGTGAAACACAAATGAAAAGTTTATTATTAGTATAATTATAAATAATAATTCTGTTTTTTTAAATAACAGTAACTTAATTAAATTATATTAAATTATAATTTTGTAATCGCTTTCTCATTGAGCGCACATTTTGATATCTGATTTGTAAACATTGAATATAAATACTGTACTTTTATTTTTATAAATAATAAAATAAAAGTGAAAACATTTTATTTATTATTTTTATTAGACTTATAAACTAAACTTTGTTTTTACAAATGCGATTGGTTAATTATTTATTTTACAAACACTATTCTTCATTGTTAATTACAGCAGTTAATCAATGTCATTTTTACTAATTAATTTTTAACATAATTTTTAACTATACTTGGGTACTATTATTATGTTTTAGTCACATTGCATACAACCCCATCACGTAATAATTATTAACAATAAATGCGTTTAACAAGCAAGTTCATCAGGTAAATTAATATAATTGAATATGGTTTGGTACACCTGAACGATAATGTTATTTGTCGATAATAACAATAATATTAGGCAAAGAACATTTCTTATTATCCTACTTTTAATTATAAAGTGAGTTTATCTACTTAAATCACAGTATTTTAAGTGCTATCCCAAATATGGTTAACATTTTTTAATAAAATAAATGGGGCGAGCGAGGTGATTAATTTACTATAGTGAATATTTTGTGTACTTTAAATTAATTTTTACCAACAGGTTATAATTTTTTAAATATGATAACTTTTGAATTTACATTAATTTTAATATGAGATAAATGGATTAGGGTGATTATTGATAAATTTAAATTTAAAACAACCCTGATATCATTCAGGTATCACTTTCACGTTATGCACTTAAGGTAAAACTAGTTTTAAACCCATATCTAACTAAAAGTTTATTAATGATTATAATAAAAAAATAATAAAATTTTGCGATAATAAAAACTAATTGTGTAACAAAAATGTGATCGCAGTTTTGCACTTAAATGTCATATAAAATGAGCTGAAATTTGTTTGTAATATTAATTCATTTAAAATAAATACTTAATTCTATCTAATTAAATTTAATTGTAAATAAAAACGCGTTTAATAAACACCATGTGGAAAGTTAACTGGCGTTTAATACGCGATGAATGGGATAAATATTTTTACACCGCATACCTTATACTGACAACTCTGGCTTATGTGAGTATATAAATTATTATTTATTATAATTAATTATAATTTAATTTATCTAAATTAATATTGAATTAATGCCTATTACGTCAAACATGACCAGGGAATAATATTTTCGTTATTTTCCAACATCATGACTGACATGAGATTGATATTCAAAACATCGCTAACAATGATGACACTATACCAGACACTAGAGACTGTGGGCTATATTCTGGGCACTTTCGGTATAGTATACTACAAACTACTCCCGTTATACTAAACACACTACACACTATATAACACATACTATCGCACCATTAGTTGGCCTAACCTACCGGTACTTGAACCGGCAACTGGTGGTAGCCGTGTGTTTTGTCATATTAACCGTGGTCAATAGTGTATTGCCAATGGTGCCCAACCTGCCGGTGCTTTACGTGTGCGCTGTGGCATCGGGTTTTTGCTCCAGTGTTATCATGTGCTCCTACACCGTATGGA